GAAATCTTTAGGTTTAGAATTATTTTTCTATTTGTAATAAAGTTTCTACTATGGCATTATATTAATAAAAAAAAAAATATATATAAGATATAGGTTTGTAAATTAGAACTTAATGAAACAACCCCAGTAAATAATAAGAATAAGCTTAGTTAAGATATGCTATCTTCATATTTTAATTAAAATAATTTAGTTTTAAAGTATTGTAATAAGTCAAAGTTTACAAAATTTCTAGTTTGTAAACTAAAGTAATTAGTTTCAGAAAGTTGAAAATAGTTGTAAAATATCTGTTTATAAATATGATCAATAAAAAAATCTTTAAAAACAGTCAATATGGTTGTTTGTTTTTAAAAATTTTGTGAAGTCTTGGTGATATATGTTTCTAGCTTAGAAGGTATAAACTATTATTTGAAGTAAATTGTTTTAAAATAAGAATATAATAATAGCAAAGTTATTTTTTAAAGATTAGATATTTAGAATGTATTAATAATAAATATTCTAAAGTAGTAAAGCTAGAAGTCATAGTAAATATTTTAAAGTAGTAAAGCTGGAAGTAATAGTAAATATTCTAAAGTGGTAAAGCTGGAAGTAATAGTAAATAGAATATTATATATAGAAATTGGAGTAATAGATAAGCTAAGATGTTTAAAAAGTTAAATAATTTTAAAGCTTGTAATTGATTTAAAAACATGTTTATTAAAATATTTTTAAAATAAAATATACTTATATAAATGCTACTAAAAAAAATTTGTTTTTTGTATAAAATATATTAGACAATTTGTGAAATCAGTGTGATATATAATTCAAGATTAGAGATGAATCAGGTTGTTTTAGTCTATCTAGTTCTAATAAGATTAATCCATTAACAATCTTAATTATACTGTACACTACCAAAATTGATTTTTGAAAAAAAGTGTATTTTATCTTTATTAAAGCAAATTAAAATTTTTTATATGATTGGTTTAGGCCACAGATAAAGTAGATTAAGTTTCTTTTCTTGTTATTTTAAAATATGAAATTTAAGTAGATTCTCTTTGCTATAAGAGAGTTATACATTCTTTTCTTTGTAAGAGAGTTATATATTCTTTTCTTTGTAGAAGGTCAAATTAAATTTTAATAAAGACAGAGACATGGTCTCACCATTAATATTCAAAAAAAATTTTTTTTATATAAAAGAGCAAATCTATATTTCTTATAATTTCATCTATACAAAAAAAATATCAAAAAATTTCATATTTAAATTTTAATTTTGAATTTTAAACCCCAAAATAATTTCGTCAACATGTATAGTTCCAACTTCTAACTATCCTATTGGCTAGTGGATCATATAACATCGGTAATTGAAATAAGCGATTGTCTAAAATAATTTTTTAATATTTTTAATTAGTTATTTATGAAGACCGGTCCGAACTGGTCTCAGGACCGGACTGGTTACTCATGAGACCGGCTAAAAAGACCGGTCCTTATTCGGTCTTTCCAGGACTGATCCATCCCTATTCAAGGCATGTGTATAAGGTAATACAATATATCTATTTTTAATCTCATTTATCGTTATGTGGGCTATGTTCAATACTTTTTTATGCCAAGAAACCGAAGTCTGTTTTTCTTGTTGGCGGCACTCATACACTTTTTGAATCTCAAAGTAACATATTCACTTCATCGATAGTACAAGATAATGTATCAAGAGAATTCTAGTTATGTGTTATATATTTTTGTTTCTTGATTATTTTATTAGCATATGACAATATGAGTTAGGTAAAGACATAGTGAAATAAACTTTGGATTCATCACGCTGCGTGTATTTTTCAGAAACTAGAACACTTATTGTCCCGTATTTGTGGTCAATAAACATTATTTTTTTAAGGAATAAGTTTAATACACTGACAACTTAAAAAAATATTCACTTCCCGGTTTCAATTTTATAAAAATAAATTTTAGATTTGGGCAAGGGGGCAAGCTTCGAATTAAGGTTTCGGATTTTCAGTTTCGTCAAACCCGTTAAAATTTTGTTAAATTTATTTAGTTATTGCATATCGATTTCGATTTCTTACTCAGTAGAATTACTCTTTATTTTAATAACAGATTGGACGTGCCTCTTTCCTGTAAAAAACCTCTGCTTTCTTAGTAATATAATAATACCATCAAGAACAATCGTGAGTAATCACAAGTTCAGCCGATTAACCGCTTATTCAGCCAGCATTAAAATACCTCTGGTCTACGATCAATATAACTAAACGATTAGAAAAATATTTGGCGGTTCCAATCCCTACCATTCTGAACCGGATAAACTAATTGTAGGAGGATTAATTTAAAAATTGATCACGTGAATTATTATTGCGGTTTGCAAAATTTGCGCATTTATTATTTGTAAAAATTTGATTGAATATTTTAATTCGCAACACCTATTTTTGCAAATATATTACAAAATGATGAAATATGCAACTTTTATTTCCATAAAAATAACAAATTCTGTCTAATCTAAAAGTCAAAAAAAATGTTGAAGAAATCGGAAATCAGTAATCAAATTTCACATAATTTTGCAAACCGCAATAAATGTGGAATCGGATGATGCTGGGAATCATGTTATCACATGATGATTTTCCGCATAAACTTAGATGTTATACTATATATGTTACACCTAATCCCACTAGGGTGATTAGAATCTGTTTACGTCAAACCCTAACCTTAACACTAACGGCTAATAATCAGTGACACATCTCATTTGACAATGATTCCCAGCATCATCCGATTCCAAGCATCATCCCCCACATTAAATGCCAGATAACTTGGTGACATTTAAAACAATGGGGTAAAGGGACGATGCTTATTATTACAAAATAGAATACGTAAATATTTATCGTCCATGTGATAGTCTTATTTATTAGTCATGCATACGTACGCACACACAAATCCATTTATATCAATCCCTTCAAAAAAAAAAAAATTGTCGCGGCTGATGCTGGAAACGGCTGATGCTGGAAATTTTAATTATTTTAATATGAAATTTTTAAAAAATTTTAGGGCCTTTTGTTAGGGGTTTTTTTTTAGGGTTAGGTTAGGGTTTAGGGTTAGTTTTAATAATAAAAGAGTATAAGTGGATTTTGGTAGGACGTATTTTTTTAAATCAGCTTATCTGATTTCCAGCTTCAGCCATTTCCAGCTTCAGCCGCGACAAAAATTATTCAAGAATTGTTCTGAAAGTTTTCACTATTTACATCATGGCATCGAATCTAGTTGAAAAGACACCCAATGAGCTTTGTGAGGCGACAAAAAAACCCACTTTAATTGTTGCTCGTCCAACCATTACCGTCCGAGAAGCTTTACGAATGATGGCCAATCATAATATTGTATCTCTACCAATTTATTCCCACCATTCGGACAATATTGTTACGATAGTTGATATTGTCGATATTCTGAATTATATTATTAAAGAAGCAGTAGCTGATGAAAAATTGCCATCCAAAATAAACAGCGAAAAAGCTCGTAATTTAGATAGTCAAATCGAAGCTGTTATGACTCTAGACTCTGATCAAGAGAGCTATAGAATCTTTAATACGGACGCAAATGAATGTATAAAAAATGTAAATATAATATTATAGTATTATCATATTCTGCAATTATCGTTATTTGAAAAAATTTTGTAATCATTACATTTTTTATTTCCACAATAGACGCTTAAAGCATACTCCAAAGGAATTCATCGATCCCTAGTTATTGATTATAACAACAAAATACCACCATATATCTTAACTCAATCAGATATTATAAAATATATTCAAGCACATCCAGAATGTCTGCCCACCATCGATTTTAAATCGTCATTGCGCTCCCTGGGACTGTTTAAGGGGCGGAACGTAGTTACTGGTTATGATCATGAGACAGCCTTGAATGTGTATCGAAGGATGGCCGAACATAAACTAACAGGAATTGCTATCGTTAATAGGTAATTTTTATCTTATTAATCTAAATATTTTTCCTTTTGATTTTTTTTACCAGTTTTTTTATTTACAGGGAACGAGAATTGGTCGGAAATCTTTCTGCATCAGATCTTCGTGGGTTAAGTTATGAATCTATAGATAGCCTTGTTTCCCTAGTTCTTGAATTTTTAGCCGTAAGTTTTACTAATTCTTTATTATTCTGCATTAAAAATTGAATCTGTAACTTTAAACTCATTTCTTTCATTTATTATCGAAAAGACTCTTGCTAATTGTGAGAATCTCTTAAACCCAATCACTGCCACGCCGGAAACTTCGTTGGAAGAGGTACTGAAACTCTTGACTGTTAATAGGATCCACCGTGTTTGGATTATCGATGATAAAAGACATGTGATAGATGTTGTTACATTAACAGATTTGATTGGTTTATTTATTCAACAATGAAAATCATGATGCTTGTTTTATTATTATTTATATATTTTAAAATATATAGTATAAATTGGTTGTTATTTTACATGTAATTTTATGCAAATTGTTTTTTAAATGAATTAAATTGGATGGTCTTACATTAGCATTTTACTGTTTCCAAGTGTTAGGTTATCTAGATATTACCTTGTCAAAGAATTTCGGTCTTAATTATTTTACGAATTCGGGTAATGGTTCAACACTTAACAATTATATGTTTCATAATCATAACATGTAATTTATTATTCTCAAACTCTAGTACATATATAATGCTAAATGCTGAAATAAATACGCACTGTATACCTTATAGTTCTCTAAAACATTATATATTAATTTTCTACTTTCCAAGATTTTTACATTAACGTTAAATTTTCAATTATAATATATATATATATATATTATTATACATAAGGTGGGTGCGGGTATTATGGCGAAGCTAACACTTGCTACTAATAAAAGTTTAGCAAAAATTTTTATTTTTGAT